CTGGTCTCACGTTTCTTTCTATGACTACCTGCTCTATGTGCAAAGATTCTGCTATGTCCCCTGGAATTTTAAGAACATGAGCTAGAAATTTTCTGTTAATAGAGTTTTCTCTTTTATTTAGTATACCTATTTCTTAAGTAAATATTTTCTCTGATTCTAGAATCTTCCCCTTTTTTGAACCATAATGTGTTCTATTTGCTTGGTGGATTTAGATTTTTCTCCTTTGCTTATCCTTAGGGAAGTCAACGCATATTCAGTATCGGGTATTGCCCTGTGTCCCTCCATCCCTCCCTCCCTCCCTCTCCTTCCTTCCTTCCTTCCTTCCTTCCTTCCTTCCTTCCTTCCTTCCTTCCTTCCTTCCTTCCTTCCTTCTCTTTTTGTTTTAAAAATTTACTTTAAGTTCCAGGATACATGTGCAGAACATGCAGGTTTGTTACATAGGTATACATGTGCCATGGTGATTTGCTGCACCTATCAACTCATCTAGGTTTTAAGCCCCGCATGCGTTAGCAACCCTGTGTTCTTTCAAGAAACTTGGATGAGTCACTATTTGACTCAAGTCCAGACAAAGGAAAAAGGTTACATTTGTAGTAGATTAATTTACCAATTATGAATTCATATTCCTGTGAGGCCTGGGAAAAGTGCCAGCATCAGTTCCAGAAGTAATCACAGGGAAGTTTGCCTCAAACCAGAGACTTTCTTTTAGGTATTTGGTGTGGCACTCAGTAATTAGCAAGGTCATTGTCACTTGGCGTGGCTGCCGTTGCCAGGAGCCAGCTGGGAGTGTCTTTTTCCCACGTGTTTTCCGTGGTAGTCATCATAGCCACCTGTCAACCAGAAGTAAATGCAGCCAGAGGTTACTTGCTTGGCTGGCCTCTGAAGCCAGGAACCCTTCTAAAGGAGTTAGTGTATTTTAAATGTACCCCGAGTCTCCCTGGGCTTCAGCGCCCCCATCCCACTGAACTAGGGGTATCATTATGGGTTTGGTGGATTCTCATTTGCTTATTTTCTGGTCGTGCAGTTGCAGTTTCACATGAAGAGGATATCGTGTTTTAGTCCTTTTGTCAACCTCCCATGTTGATTCTTTCAAGTATTTCTGAATGTTTAAGATCTATCTCTAGTTTCCAGGGCTGATTCAGGATATTTCCTGTCTTATAATCAGCTGGTCATTTCTTTGGTAATCTGGCACAAAAAAATACGCTTATAGCTTTCTTATTTGGAAATTGTATTTTATACATGAGATTTGAATTGTAGGGGGATACTGAGGTAATTTAGACCCAGTGATTGTAAAGGAATGGATGAATGATCCAATAAATAAATAGATGACAAAGCTCATCTTTTGCAAGTGAGAGGCATTAGAGATAATTTTACGGTTTTGAGAAGAGAAATATAGATGAGAAGAGATGCGTAGGAGAATAGAAAATGGAGACAACTAGGAAAGAAGAGAAGGGGCAACAGTAATGCTCCAAGGGCAGTTGGAGAGCCTGATGTCAGCCGGGCAAACCCACATTGCTTCATGGTTTTCTATGGCTAGAACATAGTCTTGAAGCTCAAGCAAAGGAAATGGAGAGTTAGGTTGATGGCAGGCTAGAAGAGTTGCGGCACAGGTGTCGAAGTACTTGGAAGAGTTCAGAGGGGTATATTTCTTAGTCTCATTCTGTTGCCCAGGCTGGAGTGCAGTGGTGTGATCTTGGCTCACTGCAACTTCTGCCTCCTGGATTCAAGCAGTTCTCTGCCTCAGCCTCCTGAGCAGCTGGGATTACAGGTGCCTGCCACCATGCCTAGCTAATTTTCTTTTTCTTTTTGTTTTTCTTTTTTGTATTTTCAGTAGAGATGGGGTTTCACTATCTTGGCCAGGCTGGTCTTGAACTCCTGACCTCATAATCCACCCGCCTCGGCCTCTCAAAGTGCTAGGATTACAGATGTGAGCCACCACGCCCTGCCCGGGGTGTATTTCCTTAAAAATTATTGTGCAACTCTCTAGTTGACAGTCTGGGGCTCTGGTAAGGCAGGGAGTTTGTCTGTCAAAGCGAACCAGCTTGCTCAGCTCGATACTGCATGGCATGATTACTTAGGGTGATGTCTTTTTTGTCTTTAGTTCCCCCATGATTTGTGCAGTTTCGTAAATAAGTTGAGAAGCCAATAGATTTCATAATATAATTTTAAGACTTTGCTCCCAAAAGAAAACTGATTTGTACCTTTGAAGTTAAATGTCATTTAGCCCTTGTATTTGGCAAAGTAACCATACGCTATTTTATAAAGCATTCTCGTAATGTGTGAATAGGTTCAACAAAATTAGACATGTCTCATGTTTTAGGAGAAGGCAGTTAATTTTCTGTCTTATTTTCTTCTTGAACATGTGAAACTAACCATCTGTCATGTTTATTAGGCATCTCAAGGAAATGAAACATCCAAATGAGGGTCACATGATTAAAATTTTATATAGATGAGAGGAGCACAAGGTTCTCTGTCTCAGGGTCACTCTGCAAGTCATCTGACTTTCATCCTACTTTCTCCATTTTTTATCTGACATTTTTGCTTAAAGATTCTACATGCTTTCCATCTCTTTTAAATCTTTGATCACTTGGAGTACTGGCCTGTGGAAAGAGTATGAATCTTAGCGTAGGCCCTGGTTCATACCTCAGCTCTTTCAGTTCCTGACTGTGTGACTGGGGGTATGTTGCATAATCTCACAATACCTTTCAAAGCCTCAGATGTCTCCCTTGTAAAATAATTGGATAGTATCTGCCTCAAACTCTAGGGTAAATTACTGCTCCAAAGCTCAACATCCAGTGGCCTTTCATTAAATCCCAGTGTCCCATCTTTCCCTCTGCTGTTGTTAGTAATAACGCCATATGACATATTTGTTTGGTGGATCTCGGATCTCATCCATTTCTATATCGCTTTCCTTACTATAAGCTAGCTGCCTCTATTTACCTTTCAGGCAACTCTCTATATTCTGAATATTGAATATATTTTAAGGTTCTATTACTTAATGACATAGCTTGGTGAAATGATATTAGACCTGAGCATATAGTATGCATCCTTAAGAATGGAATGTTGTGTGCTTGATTTTTTGCTTTATAGTTATATTATTGATATATTCATTTATGTCACATAGAACAAGATAATGTGAATTATAAATACATAAGAGGGAGAAAGGAAAAATGAAAGTAGGAGTGGGCAAAAAATAATGCCAGGAATAAGTTCAATATAAAACAGTGCACCTTGGGGTTCCTGTAATTTTCTTGGGTAAGTTCGGCACTCTAGCAGTCATCTTGAAAAAAGAAAGGTCCTGTATACATATACTTTTCTCCTGGGTTGTTTATTTACTTTCACAGTGTGATAAACAAGTCTTATTTGTTCCTATAACTGGGACTAAGGAGAACATCAGTATTGTCACAGGGCAGCTGTGGAATTTGCTGTTGAATGTCATGACAAGATAGCTTGATAACTTTACTACTTATTTGTCAATGAAAATAATTGCTCGAATGGGAAAAGAAAATAGGAAGGCTCTATAGTTCTAAGCAGCTAGAACCTAAAGTGATTGAAACTGTAGTATGAAGGATACTGCACAAAAATGTAGCAATTAAAAATTTAAGCTTATAAAAGTTGCTATCAAACCTAGATTACTTCTTAGAAAAGCAGCACTTCTAAGCCTCTCATTTGCCCGGTATTCCTGAGCTAATATAGGGTAGCACCATGGGATTTGGGGGACAAAGGACTTGGATTAAATGTCTAACTGCACAGTTCCTAGCATACAAGATTTGGATCTTGTGACCTCTGGTTCATTACTTTTACTATTATGAAAATTATCATTTCCCAATAGTTTAAAAAGTGTTCAGGTAGCCAGGCGCAGTGGCTCACGCCTGTAATCCCAGTGCTTTGGGAGGCCGAGGTGGGCGGATCACCTGAGGTCAGGAGTTCGAGACCAGCCTCAACATGGAGACACTCCCATCTCTACTAAAAAAAAAAAAAAAAAAAAAAACAAAATAGCCAGGCGTGGTGCAGGGGGGCGGGGGGGGGCGGGGGGGAGGGGGGGGGGCGGGGCGGGGCGGGGGGCGGGGGGGGGGGGCGGCTGCATGCCTGCAATTCAGCTCCTCGGGAGGGCTGAGGCAGGAGAACCTGCTTGACCTGGGAGGGCGGAGTTGCTGTGGAGCTGAGATCGGGCCATTGTACTCCGGCCTGGGCAACAAAAACTCTGTCTCAAAAAAAAAAAAAAAAAAAAAAGAGAAAAAAGGTGCGTCAGGTATCCATCTTGCATGCTGGTGAAACTAGAAAGCGTATTTACTGACAAAAGCACCTTAAAGGCAAGGTTGGCTTAGCCTTACTTCTTGTGCGCCCAGTTCCCTATTGATGCTCAATAACTCTTTTTTTTTTTTTTTTTAGACCGAGTCTCACTCTGTTGCCCAGGCGGGAGTGCAGTGGCATGATCTCGGTTCACTGCAACCTCCGCCTTCTGGGTTTCAGTGGTTCTCCTGCCTCAGCCTCCCGAGTAGGTGAGATTACAGGCATGTGCCACCACACCCAGCTAATTTTTATATTTTTAGTAGAGATGGGGTTTCACCATGTTGGTCAGGCTGGTCTCAAACTCCTGACCTCTAATGATCTGCCCCCATTGACCTCCCAAAGTTTTGAGATTACAGGCGTGAGCTGCTGTGCCCGGCCAATAACGTCTTTGAATAAAAGAAAGGATATTGTTAGGGGGTATGAAAATCACCAGAAAATGAAAATGTTTCTTAAAAATGAAAGAATTTTTTAAAATTCTTTTCTTAAAATGAAAAATTTTTTTCTTCTGGACTAAATTGCAATGTGGAAAGAGTCACATCAGCCTTTGGACAGAACTAGGGCCGTGATTTAGTGTGCGGAAGTTAGCATCTCTCTGAGTTTTCTTAATGAACATGTGAATAAGAGAAGATTTGGTTATACTTTGTGCTTATTTAGCATCCTCTCTTTGAGGATGTCAAAAGGATTTTAGAAATGTTCTCCTTCTCACACAGGTGGACATCTGATTTATGAAGCTCCCCATCCACCTGTCTGAGTACCTGACTTCTCAGGACTGACTCCTACAGCATCAAGTATCTTGCCTTTCTTTAGTCTTAAAAGCGGTGACTAAGTTCCTTGAGTAAATATAGGCAGGGAACACATTCACTTTGTTATGTTTCATATAGGCCTGGGAATTGGAGTTGCTGCTGTAGTACTGGTCCTACCGTTAAATGTGTGACTCTAGTCCCTTTTGTTCTCTAAGCCTCAATTTTTTCTTCTGCAAATAGGTGGGGTTGGACTGGGTGAAATCTAATTACTTGACGGTATTATGGTAGTCCACCCTTATCTGAAGTTTCACTTTCCACGGTTTCAGTTACCTGCAGTCAGACTTGGTCCAAAAATATTAAATGAAAAATTTCAGAAATAAACAATTCACAAGTTGTAAATTGCACTCCATTCTGAATAGTGTGGGTGAAATCTCATACTGTCCATGTGATTCATCCCTTTGTCCTGCATCTCCACGTATGCTACCTGCACATTAGTCACTTAGTAACTGTCTCTGTTATTTACAAGGTTGGGTACTATTCACAGTTTCTTTTTCTTTTTCTATTTTTTAAAGATGGAGTCTCGCTCTGTCGCCCAGGCTGGAGTGCAGGGCTGCCATCTTGGCTTACTGCAACCTCCACCTCCCAGATTCAAGCAATTCTCCTGCCTCAGCCTCCTGAGTAGCTAGGATTACAGGCACGTGCCACCATGCCCGGCTAATTTTTGTATTTTTAGTAGAGATGGGGTTTTGCCATGTTGACCAGGCTGGTCTCAAACTCCTGACCTCAGGTAATCCTTCCCTCTCGGCATCCCAAAGAGCTGAGATTATAGGCTTGAGCCACCACGCCTAACCCACTATCCACAGTTTCAAGTATCCACTGGGGGGCTTAGAATCCACTCCTCAGATAAGTGGGGGTGGTTACTGCATTCCCTTTGCCCTCAATGTAAGCCATCAGCTCTCCACTATGGATTATTCAATTCCTTTATTATTTAATGGCAGGATGGCTTTTCCCACTGACTCACCCTCCCCAGCTCTGCAACTTGAAACTGTCTTCCCAAAACATCTACCTGGCATGTTGGATTCAAACCTATGAAAATTCCTCAACTTAAGAGTATTTGGACAGATAGCACAGAAGTCATGGCTTTTAGACCTTAGCTTTTCCCTACAGGCTTTCTGTTTGCATTAAGCTAGTATTTGAAACTTGACTCTAGGGATTCTTACCTCCTTTGGCCAACGGTACTTCACACCCATATGCTAGTCCTTTTATGCTAAATGTGGGTTTTCCTGTTGTTTTCCAGATACACAGCTTCTCCTAGCATGACCTTGATCTGATCAGCAAACAAGAACATTTGTCTCCCGTAGTTCTGGGGCCTATTCACCATCTACAACCACAGAGCTGTCATGGCTGCCATCTCTACTTCCATCCCTGTAATTTCACAGCCCCAGGTAAGGGCTTCAGACTAGCAGAGGTCTGACGTAATCATAAGTTTGTCAAATATTTAAACTGGGTTTCAGGAAGTGTGTTTGACTCTAGGGATCATGTATATCTCTCTCGCTATCATTTGGTGAGTATTTGAATAATGGTGCTTTTGTGAGTGAGGTGCCATTTAGTTCAGGAAGCAGCTGGAACAATGAACAAGTGATTTTAGTGAACTGGCCTCTGTTCATAGGAGGCCTTGGTTTTCAGTGCTTAGGATGCCCGACTGTCACTATAGGCATCACACTCTAAATCAAAATAAGTCAGTAGTAAACCCTGCCGCTTTTCCTCTCTTGGCTTTTTTTGTGGGCTGGGGGTTGGGGTGGGGTTTAATGAAATATATCAGAATGGATCTAACTTTAACAAGTTTTTTGAGGGCTGTCTTGTCATCCTCCTCCTATACTTACTCTTTTGCCTTGACCTGTTCTAGGAACTTTGAAAACAAAATGCGATTCCAGAAACTTCTGAACAGCAATCGTATGAGTTATCTTTTTCTGTCCAGTGAAGAGCAGTAATACGGCAGGGACATGGTCTTTGTTCGGATGATTTTACAGCCTGATTTAATCAAGCATTCACTGGACTCTTTCAGATTCAGCAGGCAGCAGGGTACAATGTGGAAACAGACTTTGGAGTCATAAGGCCACAGTTCACATCCCTGCTCCTCTGATTGCGGGATAAAAAGCCTTAGTCATGCCAACCTGTCTCAGCTTCAGATCTCTCTCATGTAATCGTTCCTCACATGATGGTTACATGGATTAAATGATGGTTTATATACTTGAGGCATACAGAGGTGCCCAGGAAGTGTAGTTTCCCATTTACTCTTCATTTATCTTCTTTCTATAGTGTGACCTCCTCTCTCATTCGTGACAATCAATTTTTGGCCAACTTTATTTTTATTTATTTATTTTTTTGAGAGGGAGCCTTGTTCTGGTACCCAGGCTGCAGTGCAGTGGTGTGATCTTGGCTCACTGCATCCTCTGCCTCCTGGGTTCAAGCGATTCTCCTGTCTCAGCTTCTCGAGTAGCTGAGATTACAGGCGCCTGCCACCAAGCCCAGCTAATTTTTGTATTTTAGTAGAGATGGGGTTTCACCATGTTGGTCAGGCTGGTCTTGAACTCTTGACTTCAAATGATCCACCTCTGTGGCCTCCCAAAGTGCTGCGATTACAGGCCTGAGCCACTGTGCCCAGCCTCGGGTAGCTTTGAAGAAAAAAGCATACTTTCAAGAAAGAGCCATATTGATTGAAATTTGAACTTGATACAGAACGTTATTCCACACTGTTTTTTTCAGTATGATTTTGCAGGCTCTTCAATTTTGTATGTATTTTAATAGGGGTTTGTGTGTTTGTGAGAGAGGGAGAGAAGAAGGAGAGGGAAAAAGGAGAACAAGGGGCATTTTTCCTTCATATAGTATAGTGTTTTCTCCTCAGCACCATTTGGGATGTCATCATTGTTATCCACCTTGGGATTTTATCTTATGAATAAAGCCCTTTATTCATATCATATGAATACAGAATAAAGTACCAAGGCCTTCAGTATTATTTTCCAGAATGTTTAGTGTTACCATCGTCATATGCATTTCTCTTTCTGGTAAGTGGACCATTGTCCTTTCAACACTTCATTTACTTTGGGTGTTTGGTTTCCCTTATCTTCAGTAGACTTTTTTGGTATCTGAGAGACTTGGAGAATGGGCGAAGAGATTTAGTGCCTGTTACCTGAGGTCACCATTTCAAAGTCCACAGAAGCTGTTCCCATGTAATGACTCTTCTTAGTCCTTTTGTGAAGTGAGTTAGGCTAGTGCAGGTTTTCTAGACAAGGCATTTCCACATCGCGGTGTTGCTGCTGTCATCTGTCAGCATTTCCAACAGCTTCTTCTTATCTATACACCTTCTCTGTTACACAAGCTCCTATCGGCTGGTGAGGAATAGAAATACCTCTAAATGACTCATTTAATTAAAATGTTTAACACTGCTCAAAGGAGAAAGAGGTTCTATTTCTTACAATTACTGGGGGAAATGTGTACTCTTGAAAATTCTCTGTGGGAAAGTAAATTGGTACAGTTACTCTGGAGGGTAATTCAACAGTATCTATTCAAATTATACATTACTGCACATGCCCTGCTGCTGTCTTGGAATCTACATTAGAAAAGCACTCACACGTGAGCCCAAGGAGTATATAAAGATATTCATTGAAGCATTGGTTGCAAACCAAGAAATACAAAAGTTTGTGAATATCCAATAGTAGAAATACTTAATGAATTCAGGAATGTGGACATGATTGAAATACTACTCAGTCATTTTATTTCTTTTTTCTTTTTCTTTTTTCTTTCTTTCTTTTTTTTTTCGAGACAGAGTCTTGCTCTGTTTCCCAGGCTAGAGTGTAGTGGCGCAATTTTGGCTCACTGCAACCTCCGCCTTCTATATTCCAGCGATTCTCCTGCCTCAGCCTCCTGAGCAGGTGGGATTACAGGCATGTGCCTCCATGCCCGGTTAATTTTTGTATTTTTAGTAGGGACGGGGTTTCACCGTGTTGTCCAGGCTGGTCTCAACTCCTGACCTCAGGCGATCTGCCCGTCTTGGCCTCCCAAAGTTCTGGGACTATAGCCGTGAGCCACCGCGCCTGACCACTATTCAGTGGTTTTAAAATGAGGATATCTACACAGCCATATATTACTCCAAGATATCGTATGGAAGAAAAAGAAAGCAAGATGAAAATAGTACTTATGGGAAGCTACCATTACAATTCTAAAACAAGACTGTGTATTTTTAGGGACAAATATATGGTACATTAATGGAAATGGATAATGAAACTCCTAGAACATACATTCTTAACATAGTGATATTGCCTCAAGAGGACAAAAACTGGATTTTGGGAGATGAGAAAAATTCCTCCAAAGCTTATACCCCTATCCAACAAAATCTTATTCCTTAGTATTTAGTTTTTTCTCGTTACAGAAAATTTAAATATAATTAATTTTTCTCCTTAAGGATCACTAATGAGAAAAAAATGTGGCCAAGAAACACTGGTTTCTTGAGGGAGAAACATAGGCTCACCAGTCATCCTGCTTCGATTTACTAATTACCTGAGCCTGAGGGGAAGGTATCCACCCTCTTAGTGCCCCTATTTCCTTACCCACAGAATGAGCATGGTAATAATGAAGCCAACCTGATAGGGTTATTTTAAGGAGGAAATGAAATAATTTCTATAAAACTCAGAATAGTGCCTGGCACATATTCTGGGCACATATTGCCCAGTGTGTGTTAGCAAGCATTGTTATTATTGTTCAGCAAGCCTTGTGGCAGGCCTGGGGGATACAAGAATAAGTAAGAGAAATAAGTTTTGCTCTGCCACAGTTTAGAGATAAGTGGGAGATATACAGATAAAACAAAAAGTTACAAGGTTTTGTCACCAATGCAGGAATGCACAAATACAGGAAGTATGGGTGCTCTGGGAGGAAAGTGGAGAACCCGGAAAAGATTTAGAGGATCAGGGAAGACTTCCTGAAGGAAGACCACTAGGCTAAGAACAAATGAATATGGGTTATCTTGGTAAAAGAGAAGAAAAAGCATGGGTGAATGTCAAGTGTCCCAGGGTGGTGTGTGTGTGTGTGTGAGAGAGAGAGAGAGAGAGCAAAGCATTTAGAATTCTGTTTTGGATGGTTGCACTACAGTGGGGTCTGAGATTGTAAACAGTAATGTCCCTAGAGCCACCTATACCAACTCACAGAGGCGGATTGTTAAATTTTCAGGAATTTTGTGAGCCAGTGGACTTCATGCTAGCTTCTTGAAATCAGCCATATGAAATAGTTACACTGCAGAAATTGGCAAATGCTTCAATTAGCATACATAGGTTAGATTATAAAATTGGAGATTTTACAAGGCCTTTCAAACCATATTAACAAATTTAACATTGATCTTAAAGAAATCTGTGTTAGCTTAATGGTCCCAGCCTTTGAAATAGACTTGGGTTCAAGTCCTGACTTTCGATAATTGTTTTATTGAGCAAGTCTGTTAATTAACTTTAACCAGGGTAGTTCCATTATCCTTGCTGTATTTTGGGAATAGTGGCAGCCTCTGATGGTTGGGGAACTAAACCCACGGGGAAGGAGCCAGCTATACACTCGGGCATTAGGTCGTAGAGATAGATAGCTTCTTCTGGAGAGATGCAGACCATTGGGTCACTTGGTTCCCAGGATCCTTTGGCCAGTGATGGACCTCCTAATTATATGTCAGTTCCTCGCATGTAATTTGTACAGTCAAATTTAGTTCAAGGCTCACTTGCCCTTGCCCTGAAACTTCTACTGATGTCTTCTCCCTTATTTTCAGTTTTGCCCATGTTCAAAGAAGGTAAAAATAATTTAGATATAGCATCTTCTTAGGCAAAGCATAATAAGCAGCTCACTCAGTCACCTTAGCCTGGTATTGTTTGGCACATCAACTTGCATTCTTTTCCAGTGAATTCAGGGACTTTGTAAAGATAAATCCACATTCAAGTGTGAAAGGCCTGAAAATCTTTTTCTAAGGCCAAAACAACAATTTTTTAAAAAAGCTTTTGGTTTTGTTTGTTACTCTATTCATTTAGTAACAAAGAGCATTTTTCTAATCAAGGCTGCCTAATACTACATATAAACTAATTAATATGAACAAATAGCTTGTGATTGTTTCAAACAACAATAGGGAAGAAAGCTTGTATTGTCATGCCTGCTGGGATTGCTGTTTAGTTAGTTGAAAGATATGCCTTGTGCTTTGAAGTGGGGCAAGTTCGTATTCTCTGCTTTACCCCTGCCTTGACTCTGAGACAGATTTTTATTTTCTCATGCTGAGAGAGCACCTAGCTCTTACAAAGCTAGGTGATGAATACTAAGACAAAACTGGACTAGCAGCAGCAAGAAGATGCTGTGTTTGTAGCCGATTTGTAATTCTGATGGTCCAGACACAGAAAAAGAGTTTTCTTATCCAAAGGAAACTCCT